TGTTACCCAAATCACTTAACCTTACTTTATGTCGATTGTGTTCAACAGCATTTGTTACTGATCCACCAAACAATGCATGATTAAGGGTTTCCTTTCCAAATGATACATACCCCATTTCTTCTGCAGTTTTCTTCAAAATGTAGGACCTTTGAGAACCAGAGTCAAAAATGACTCGTGCTGCTCGTTCTTTATTACTTCCTCTAATATTCACACGTACAGTTTGTAAAAATACTTCAGAGTGTGCATTATTAGCTAAATTACTTTCACAAGGTACTAAGGTGTTATCATTAACATAATTTACATTAGATTTATCTTGAGACTTGTTACACATTACTGTTGCATGTCGACCATTGCAAAGAGAGCAGTTTAATCGAACATTACACTTCTTACTGACATGACCATACTTTGTACAACGATAACAACATCTGTTACTTGAAAGCAAGTTTACCTTTTCTAAATATGTCAGATTACTACAGCTCTTACAGTTTTCCGTCAAATGTTTTGCACCACAAAAACCACACTTCATAGGGGTTTTACCAACCTTTTGGTTGACAAGTCCGGCTGCAGTTGGTATTGATTCCATTTCGTCACTTAAGAATGGTTTGGATGACTTACCCAATTGTCCCTTCGAGTCCCCAAAACCTGAGGTAGCAAGTGAAATTCTTTCCTCATTTGTCACTTCAATTCGCAGAAACTTCAAAAGCGCATCGAGTCTATTCTTCAAATCAGCTTCTGGATCAAAGTCGGAATGACGTTGCCACGCCCTTAAAAGATCCTCTGGCAAACACGACTCAACTAATGGGTAAAGAATAGCCGCACATTTATCAGTAGTTACTCCTAATGTGTCAAGAGCTCTGATTTGACATTCTAATTTGTCAAATAAAGTCGAAATCACTACCTTTTGGCTCAAGTTATTGAGTAGCAACTTTAAAAGTTCTCGAACATAGACTTCTATCAAAAGATCATCCCTTCCAAAACGACTTTTTAAACTCTGAATAGCGTCTCTATAATTCTCTGATGTAGCAGGATAGCTATCTACAATTTGTCTCGCTTTAGAATTTGGAATAGTGGCCTGAACTAAATAGTGGAACTTATCAACATCATCAATAGAGGGATCTTCATCTATCCTCTTAAAAATTCCCCAAAAAGGAAGCCATTCTTTAAGATTCCCGCTAAATTTTACTAGTTCAATTTTGGGAAGTTTAAGCTTGGTCTTTAAGTTTGAACCTCCACTCTTAGCTGAATTACTACTGACCAAATCATAATCTCTAGACTCATTTATTTTACTTTGTACCAAAACATTTATCTGATTGTAGGTTTCCAAATAACTATAAGCTTTAGACACTTCTTCTTCAAGAATTGCTTCACTTTCCTCAAATTGAAATAAATGGTCAGATATCTTTGTGTCTAAATTCTTTAACTCTTCATAAACCATACTTATAGTTTGAAACCTACCTTTCAATTCATCTAAGTGAACCGTTTCCTGTGTGAGTTCATCCTTTAAATGGTTCACTAATCTTGAAAAGTTTGCCCTAACAACAGTTCTATGTTTCTTGTTCTTATTAAATTCCCTAACATCAGTTTCACTCATCGTACTGTCCTGTCACGGTCGCCAAATGTTAAAACGCGTTACTGACTCTTCTAAAAGGGATATACTTTTAAAACATAGAACAAAATATCTACCAATTTTAATCAGACATAACTATTCAAGACCAACTCTTAACAATTAATCAAAAGGAAAACACTGACTGCCAAATGTAAACAAATAAAACATCTGATGAATTAAATTAATACATAAATAAATAATCATCTAGAGACAGTCATTTTCAACAGTTTGGTTAGTTAGGTAAGGTTAACCTAACCTAACTAACCAAACGATATATCAAATAAAACAATCGAATAATCAAAATTTTCATTAGAATGAGTGTAGGACGTAAAGTTATGTGCATCTTACTTAATATATTCCAGATTAGTCTTAGGGCCTAGGCCTCGTAAAAGAAAAAACGTAAGTTATTTAACTTATTGTAGGCTTGTCGTAGACTTGTAGGGCCTTAGGCCCAACTTATCATGGAGTCATAACTTATAACTTAACTTCGGCCTTATCATACTTTTACTTAGGTCTGGATTCAAGAATATTGGCTTTTCTAAAGGCCTAAGTTAGGCATTTGTAGGTAGGCTTCCGTTTGCAAGAATTAGACTTATTTGTTTTATAAACGTAACCAGGGCCGGTTCTACGAATTTTTCAGAGTTAAGCGAACACCCGAATCAGCGCCATTTAGGATTTTTATCAGCCTCTTCTAAATTCGCCTTACCCTTTTTATAATAAGTGCCAGACGTTTTCTTTTTTCTGCCATTGTTTTCTTAGTATCGGCTCGCTAGATGTTTACTCATTTATTCAGTTTATACTTTATTCTTATTTAATGCGCTAATTAAAATTAAAAATTTTCCGTTGGCGCCACGGCGCCTCTTTTTCGTGGCGCCATATGCGGCCGGGTAGTTCGCGTATGGGTTAAACCGGCCCTGAACGTAACTTACCTAATACCTAACTTAATGTTTTACTGCCAAGATCCTAGTCTTCACCTTTTTAGACAGTTTGTCTGAGTATATTAACCTAGGCCCATGTTAATATAGGCTAAGAACTTAAAAACGTTAGAGGCCTAACTTACGTTTATCCCAACCAAGTAAACTTACCCTTTTAATGGGCCTATTGGCTTACGGTGTTTAAGTTACGCTCCGTGGAATGTAGGGTGAAGAGAGCGAATAAATATATATCGCAGTGGCGGCGATAGCGGGGGGCCCGCGAGCTAGGGGGGCCCGTGAGCCTTCACCGGGATTTTCGGCAAATTTTACCGACACACGGGCCCGCGATTGTGTGACAGGCTCAGCAACACGGGTCCCCTATCATAACAATATTTATATGAGAATTAAAACACATTTTTTATTATGAAAATTTGTTCAAACCTATAGTTCAAGTAGTTTACAACAGCTAAACTAACACTATTACTTGACCGATCTATATAAATTATCTAACAACCTAACAAGGGCCCGCGAGCTAGGGGGCCCGTGAGCCTTGACCGGGATTTTCGGCAAATTTTACTGGCACACGGGCCCGCGATTGTGTGACAGGTTCAGCAACACGGGTCCCCTATCATAACAATATTTATATGAGAATTAAAACACGTTTTTTATTATGAAAATTTGTTCAAACCTATAGTTCAAGTAGTTTACCACAGCTAAACTAACACTATTACTTGACCGATCGATATAAATTATCTAACAACCTTACAAGGGCCCGTGGGCTCTTATCGCCGCCACTGAGCCTAAGTTAGGCCTAAATTAGTTAGGCTATAAGTTTAAGTTAACTGAACATAGAAATAAAGTAGGCCTAAGTTAAGTTACACTTAATCAGGAGAAAGCTTAAGTTAGTTTCTAGACAAAGTTATAACTGATTAAGAACAGGATCATTAACTTTAATTACTGGGATTCAGTTCCGTAACCTAGAGAACCTAAAGTTAACTTACGCCTACGATGAGTTAGGTATATTAAAATATCGCATGAAATATCAGATGGATAGGCTACCTATCTATATACTATTATAAAAAAGAGGTGGTTGCTGTATGTGTGTATGGGAAAAGTAAACTCGAAAAATACTGGTAGGATTGGGCTGAAATTTGGCATGATGATAGCTCACATTCCCGATTAACATATAGGCATATTCTTATTTCAAAAATCCTTTCGGGCTCCGCCCCAGTGGCTCTGGAGTTTCCCATGTTAACCTTATGAGAAATGGAATTATTGAATCTTAACAGCTGTTTCAATTAAACAAGTTGGTTCTGTTCTATGATGTTCAATAGCATTAAATTTACAAGGATTACCAACAGGGTGCAGCACTATTATTTCTTTTACATTTATGACAACAGCTAATTTGCAACCAAAAGGTGAGTGAGCGTAGCGAACGAACTTCAACCTGGAGGCGAGTTAGCGTAGCGAACGAGCTAACCTGAAGGCAAGTGAGCGCAGTGAACGAGCTCCAACCTAAAGGTGAGTGAGCGTATCGAACGAGCTCCAACCTAAAGGTGAGTGAGCGTAGCGACAGCTCCAACCTAAAGGTGAGTGAGCGTAGCGAACAAACTTCAACCAGGACGTGATTGAGCCATGCGAACGAGATAATCTTGAAAATTAAGAAGTTAAACGGGGCAAAGCCCGCGGGTTACAGCTAGTATAAACTAAAGTTAAAGGTTATGTAAGTTATATGAACTTGAATGGCACGAGAATAGCAACGCTGGTGGCGCTGCCTATGAATTGAGAGGCAAAGCTCTCTCCGAGTACTTAACACTTTTTACTATGCGGTTAGCATTCTGTGTTATAGTACAGTACCGGTAGCATGTTTTCTGTGTCAGTGTACATGTGGTACTTACAGTGAGTGAGAGTACCTAGTACTTAGGTACTTATAACTTAGTATGTATGTAAGCTACTTAGTAGGAATAGCAGAGGCCCAAAAAAAGTATTGCCCCTTGATGTGTGCTCCCCTTGTGGGGTTTTATCTTTCTTCTTTTATGCATTCAGTTTTACTTCATTTCTATCAATGACTTCTGCCACTTCATAGCGTATATTCTGGTTGTCATCTGGTTTGACTTTATTTCTGTATTTATTTATGATTGTATTTTATGGTAACTTATTACATTTTTGTGTTTTGGCTTTCTTGTTACTGTATGTGTTTAGTACGTGTCTATATTATTTTGGTTTTGTCTTCGTTCATTCAGTTAGATTCCAGTTAATTTCTTAATCTTATTTTGGGGTACCGGTACCTAAATATTAAAATCAAGTTTTTATTAATTAATATTAATAAATAATAGGCTATTGTTATTATTACTGGCAAATATCGTGATTAAGCTTGGTGAGGAAACAAATCAAGGCTAAAAGTACAATTTATAAAAATTTAGTTTCTTTTAAAATTTGTTTTATTGTTGTGCCATTTATTTTCAAGATTCACTGAGAGAAGAAGATATGTTTGGTCAGTCTCAGCCATTTGACGAAGAGGCCGAAAAAGAAAACGTTTACTTGGAGCTTGAAAAAGCTCTTACTGAAAGGAAATGCAGAATCATCCAGAAAAAACAGAAAATCAAACGTAAGTACTTTTATACGTACAGCTCCTTTCCGTTTTAGTAAGTTAGCTATATATTCATTTTTCGCCAACCTACTTTAATAAACAGGTAGGATGATACAAAATACTTAAATGTTGGAATAAAAGGCTACAAATATACTAAAACATCCCTGTTTATTTTAATTTCTAATTCACATGATTATAAATATAAAAATAGGCTTATTATGTGCAGCAAAAAATGTTAATTTGTAACTTTATAACGGTTATACACAGTCTTATCTTGGTAATTCAATTTTTTTGATAAAAAAAACTTTCGATAATTTAAAATAAAAGCTCAGTTCCTAGAGAATCTCTTGATATTTTGAAGTTTTCCCATGCATTTTGATACATTCCGTTTTTTTTCAAGTTTTAATCAGAGAGCAGGCTGATTTGAAACACGCAATAATTCAAAATTTTAATGGTTTGCTTATCAAGCACAGGTTCCAAAGAAACCACACTACTCAAAAGTGAAACCGTGGCCAAAACAGTTTGTGTTGTATTGTCATGCATGGCAACTGGTGTCATGACAAATAAATACAAGTCATATGCTTGCAGCAGTAGAAAGTATGGCAGAATGAAGTCAAAAGTAGCGAAACTTTTGAAAAACTTTTGAAATTCCATCAAAACAGAATAAGAAGTGTTTGACACAATCAATCGTATCAATATAATATTATTGATTATGTAAGTCTCAAGTTCAAGAAGTAAACAAAAATAACAGAATAGATTTTGTAAACTCAAATATGCTGTTTCATCTGTTATGATCTTGAGGGATTGAATTGAAAGGGTTGTCTACAACATTTTGTGGGTAAGGCCCAAAGTACCAGGCAGTTTTCTTCTGAGCCACAGGCAGGGCCGATTTACCAAATAGGCATGTGCCTAGGGCGCGAGGCAATTGGCATTTTTGCGGGGCGCCAAATAATTGGAAAATAAAAAAATTTGGTGGTTGTATTTTGCATGATCGCGGTAAACTTTTGATGACCCCTCCCGGCCTTATAGACATCGTAACTGTCTCCCACGATTGTGGCAAAGTTCTGACTATTTTCCACGGTCGTGTATACATAATTATTACCTTCCATGATCGCGGCTACATATGAACATATCCCGTGGTCGTGAGGAGATTATCATCGTCTCGTGGTAGTGGCAAAGTCTGATCACCCCTCGCGGCCGAGAAGACATAATTAATCGTCACTCACAGTCGTTTGTTCATAGTGGTAATCATTTCCTTCCATCTTGTGGAGATCATCATCGTGTTCCCCAAATGAGGCAAAATTCGGAACTTTTCTCGCGATTGTATGAACATTATCGTCTTCCGTTATGGTGATAAAATTCTGATCACCCCTCGCGGCCATCATTATATCGTCCCCCGCGGTCGTTTGTACATAGTAAACGCCTCCCGCGATTGTGGCAAAATGGTAATCATCTCGAGAACTCCCTCGGCCATGTAATGTATAGATCATAGTCTTCCGTGAATGAGGCAAAATTCTGATCTTTTCCCGTGAGCATGTGGAGATTATCATCGTGTTACGCGATCGTGGCCTTCTGATCAACCCTCGCGGCCATGTAGAAATCATTATTGTATCTCATGCGATCCTGTAGATATCGTCATCGTCTCCCACGGCCGTGAAGACATCGTAATTATTGTTTCCCGTGGTTGCGGTAAAGTTTTAATCATTCCCGAGTTCATGTGGACATTATCATCGTCTTCCATGATGGCAACAATATTCTGATCATCCCTCGCGGCAATATTCTGATCATCCCTCGCGGCTCTGTAGATATCATCATCGTCTTCTGAGATCGTGGAAATTCTGATAATCCCTCACGGCTGTATGTAGACATATTATCGTCTCCCGTGGTCACGAAAACATCACTGTTGTGATTCGCGATGGTAGTAAATTGAAAATTCCAGTTAGATAAGCAAAATTCACGCATAATTCCCAGTTAAAAAACTCAATCTTAATTCTCGGATTCCTGGTTTTCCCCGTCAGTGGACACCCTGTATATATATATATATATATTGCAAAGGGGCGCTACTATTAGTTGTGCCTAGGGCGCTGACAGGGTCAAAAACGGGCCTGGCCACAGGATTTTATTTAGGTTGTTGTCAGAGGTGCCAACCCAATAAACATTTCCTTGATATTTTTTTTCAAATTAATTTGTAATAATAATTATATTTTTTTAGTGGTAATAAATGGAAGGATAAGGCAAGATGAAGAATTAAAAAGAGCTAGTGATGAAGAAAAGCGTTTTAAGAAGGAGATTGAAGAAGTCAATGACCATAAAAATACAATCGTGAGGAACATTGAAAAGTAAGTTGAAAAAAAATGTAGGCTACATTTTAATTGTAGAATTTTGAGATTGTACAATACAATTACATATCTGTTTTCTGGGGCGTTTAAAATAATTAAAATACATTTTCAGGATGAAAATCCTGCAATTATATAACAAACCCCCAAATGATCATGATGATAGTCTAACAATTGCGGGAGGTGATCACTACTTTGCTTTAATCCTTGAAAATGTTTGGAAAGTCAGTTATTACTTCTAAAATTTAATCAAAGTAAAAGAAAATAATTATGTATATCGGGTTTCACACTCGATTCTATTTAGTAAAAGTTTTACTTGGATTTTGGATTAGAAACTGCTTTGCTCATTAAAAGTCGTCAATCGACACCCTTTTGTACACCCAGCTCTGCTGACAGCTTTTGCCAGATTTTTTTGTGCCTCATGATATTTGTAGCTATGTTTATAGGTATCTAGTAAGTTACTCTTGTAGGCTTGCTGAGTTGTAAGCGTTGTTCCTCAAATTAATTTATTTTTATAGCGAACACCAGTCTCGCTCGACACTAGAATTCACTCTGTGTCACCTAACTAACAATCTATCTAAGGAAAAAGAAGAAACCAAAAGGATGAAGAGTGAATTTGATGCTGGCATTAAAGATGCTCATGATACATGGAAGTTGTATAAGGTATGTGCTAAATCGAGTACAGTACTCGCTGAATAACTACCATTACAATGGGTTGTGTTTATTTTCCCTGTTATAACAACAACCAAAAAAAGTTCAGTTGAGTGTCTAAAATCTGTTAAGATCAGGGTAGACTTGTCTATCTTATACAGTATTACTGTATCTATTACGTATATTAAGTTGTGAATTTCTCCTATACTATGTTTCTCCTTTGAATTTGAACTCCTATGTTGAATGTCTCCTCAGGTATGGAATTTTACTTTGGGGATCATATAAAAAATCTTAACACATTTTCAGAGCCCAAAAGGCAATCATACATACTTTATTAAATGAGGTATGTAAAAAAACCTAGCTGCAGACCACTTAAAAAAAATAAAACTTAAATTGAGTATTTTCATAATCTTTGAGTCAAATCTATAAAAAGTCATCAGAAATTATGACTGTTATTCGTTTTAAAATAACACCTGTAATACTTACCAATTGCTCAAATTTGAGCAACAGGTACACTAGTAGTGGTTTTTACCTCACTCTGGCAATCCAATTGTTGTATTCCACAAATAGTTTCGACCTGCTAAGAGGTCATCATCAGGTGCGTACAAGGATGATTACTTCACATGAAGGTCGTCAGGGTGGAAAAGTGTATGTTTATGTGTCAAAAACTTTTAATCCTGACAACCTTCATGTGAAGTAATCATTCTTGTATGTACCTGATGATGACCTCTTAGCAGGTCGAAACTATTTGTGGAATACAACAATTTGTTGCCAGAATCAGGTATTTAAACCACTATTATTAAATAATATAAAAAATATTGAAAATTAGCAGTAGCTTGATCAAATATGTCAATTTTTACAAATATGTATTTAATAGTGGGACCGTTGTATTATGAGAATTTATTTTCTAGGAAAAGTATGAAAACTTTCCTCTGGCAAAGAAACGACGAGAGGTAGAGGTGGAGATTAAGAAAGTTGAAATAGTTTTGAAACAAGCAGAAGTAGATACGACCGAATACATGAGGAAGAAACAATTGAAACAAGAAATAGCAGGTACATGTGACTAATAACCTCGGAATAAAAAGATTTTAAATAACGGGTACAGGTAGTAGATTTTTTACTTTCAATTATTCCTTCGAATTCACCTGCAAAGTTCATATTTTAGACCTTCAATTGTGATTTTTAACTTCCCGGGAAATTTGAAAATTAGAGACAGGAAGTCAAAATGCTCCCTATAACTAAACTTTAAAATTGTCAATGAGGGTCATCAAAATATTCATGATAAAATTGTGATATCTTTATCAGCATGAAACATAAATGTGCAGGTACTTAAGTATTTTTGTGCTCTTAGCAAGTCTGCATGGAAATTGGCTGTTTGTGATTCTGACTACTGGTTGATAAAGCTTGCTCGACATATATTTGTAAAATGGATACTGCATAATGCCATAACAGTATCCAGTTTACAAATATATGTCGAGCAAGCTTTCGACTGTACAGTTTTAGGACCTTTTCACATATTTTCTCTTTCAGTCTTTTCACTTCCAAGACTAAGTAAGCCTATCAAAAGACGTTTCATCATGAACATTGGTTAGGATTTGAAAATCCATTCATGATGACCATATTTCTTTGTTGCAGTCTATATGGTTCATGAACCACGCCACTTATACTGTTCTAAATTACCCTGTAAAGCTGTATTTAATTGTTGTCATAGAGCTGTTTACAACAGGTCGTAATTATAGCTTTTTGAACTGATCTAAATTTCTTCCCTACATTGTCTACCCTGTAGACGATCCAAAAGGGTGCTCATATATATTAGCCTTAGTCTTTAACTTACTAGGGAGTATAAGTATGTGTCACTGTGTTAAAGAATTTAATTGAATTAATTTATCTAGATTATTTAAATGGTGTTAAACTGAGGGTGTAGGCTATTGAAATTTGGAAAACCTGCGGGGAACCTGTTTGAGATACATTTTTTTGTGCTTGAGTATTAAAATTCTATACAATTAAGGTTGCCAATGAAAGATAACATTTAGCTTCATTTGGTGTCATGTTGTTCAGCATTACACTGATCTGTGTTTACACTTTTCAGAGAGGAGATTTCAGCTTAGTGTGGTTCAACTGGCTGAGACGTACAAAGTTTACCAACAGCTCATGGCAGAGCAGAAGGAGTTGATGGATAAAATGCTGTATGTACAATAATATTTAAATTAAATAACAGTTCAGTTGACAAGCAAACATTTACAATCCACTTTGGGTAGTGAGAAAAATAGCACTTAATTATAACTGTATACTTGTGTTTAAAGCTTTACTATGGTCAGATAATTAATCTTTAGCAACTCTCAGGTTAAAATCAATATTTAGGAACTACTGTATGCCTGTATGAATAAAATTTGTTGAAATTATCTAATTTAATTTAATCAAAGTACTACCCAAATTATATTTGGTAAAAATAGTTGCTACACAAATGTACAAAACTCTTCTATTCTGGTCTTGACATTCCTGTCTTCTCCCATCACAGTTCCTCTTCCTACTACCTGACACCTCATTCCTCTTTCTCCTCATCTATCTACATTCGTCTCCCTCTCCGTCTCCATCTCGTCATCATCATATCCGAGCTCTCATCTCACATGTTCAAATTATCCAAGTATTGCTTGTCTACTGTACAACTCTTCTGGTCCCTCCATTCCCAACTCTATACCACCTTGTTTCACTTTTAGTAGGCCTAGTTATTAAAAAAAATACTATTTCTCCAGCATGAATTTTCTTTGTTGTAAATTCCTTCCAAGTCTTCTGTCTGTCCCATAAAAGTTTACCATTGTTTTTTAATGCATTATTTAGCTAGCCACATACATGTTTAGCTTATGTTCTAGTAATTTGGATTCAACATTTCATTATAGCAAGAGAATTTGAATCTAAACATATTTTTCTCAATGAATTTTAACTCTCCTACTGCATATTGGCCTTTTGTTAGTGCATAGGCTAAGTGTGTAAAATTGTTTCACATTTTCAGAAAACTGAAAACTCGTATGGCTGATCTGGAGTCAGGAAAGACAACAACGCGTCAGGTAGCAACACCACAAACAAGTGAGACATAGGTTTTTGTAATTTTTTATAGATCAATATATGATAATTATTATTTCTATCATTTTGCAGATTATTATACAATGCAGTATTAGCAATAAATGAACTTTGCCCACTATATTTGTTCATTGTAATAATAATTTTTCAGGTTTTATTTCAATGGCAATTCATGTAGAAATTCATCGCTTCCTCAGTATAATTTCAAACTCAGGGTAGTCATAGAACTAAAATTGTGTGAAATCTAGGAATTATGTGTGAATTATTATTTTTTACCAAGAATCCCAAATTTTGGTGCCATTTTGATGTAACATTGACATAAGACGAAGGGTCTAACACCCAGGCACAAACTTTATTTGCTTGTGTAAAGGCTCACAGAACTCCATTAGCGCATGGAAAAGGTGACTGTTAATACACTCAACTTGACTAAAATTAGGCACGGTAGTTGTTTTCAGCCTGAAATTTAACACATTGGGCCAATCGTTCATTGGTCTGACCAGTGCCGGATTTAGGGTACTTGCGGCCCTAGGCCAAATTACTTGAGCGGCCCTCCCCCTGTGGTGAAAATTCCTTGCGATCGCAGAAGTAATAGTGACTATCTCCTATACATCAAGGGGACATCATCATCGACACCCGTGATCCTGGATGAAATCGTGGACATCTCTCCTAAACCAAGTCAAAGCCATCATAACTATGATGGCTTAGTGATCATAACTATCCGGGACCGCAGTAAAATCGTGAACATCTCCCGCTGGCCGCAATCACGGGGACATCATCATCGAAACTTGCAATCGCGGCAAAGTCGTGTTAAAAACCTCTCCCGTGGACTGCGATCATGAGGACTTCATCATTGTCACCCGCGGCCGTGCCGAAATCGTAAACATCCCACTCGGGAAGCCATCACGGGGACATCCACATTGACACCCCCAGCCGCGGCGAAATCGTTAACATCTCCCGTGGGCCGCAATCACGGGGACATCATCATCAACACTCGCAGCCGCGGTGAAATCATGAACATCTGCCGCGGGCCGCAATGACGTGAACATCATCATCGACACTTGCGATCGCGGCAAATTCGTGTTAAAAAAATCTCCCGTGGACTGCGATCTTGAGGACTTCATCATTGTCACCCGCGGCCGTGCCGAAATCGTAAACATCCCACTCGGGAAGCCATCACGGGGACATCCACATTGACACCCCCAGCCGCGGCGAAATCGTTAACATCTCCCGTGGGCCGCAATCACGGGGATGCATCGTCAACACTCGCGGCCGTGGTGAAATCATGAACATCTGCCGCGGACCGCAATGACGGGGACATCATCATCGACACTTGTGACCGCGGCGATATCGTGAAAATCTCCTGCACACGGGCCGCAATCACGGGGACATCATCATTGACAACTCGATACAGCATCTAATTCGTGAACGTCACCCGCGGCCGCGGCTAAATCATGAACGTCTCCCACGGGCCGCAATCACGGGACATCATCACAGGCACCCGAGGCCGCGGCAAAATCGTGAACATCTCCCTCGGTCCACGGAGACGTCATTCAAATTCAAATTCAAATTCAAATTCTTTATTAACTCATAACATCTTTTGGAGTACAATGTACATAGATAGGAGTTTTGTCAATATTTATAAAACTAATACTAAACTGTTATATTTTTGATAAAACTAATTACAATTATTAACACTTTAAAAATATAATAGTAATACTGAACAAAAAGAAAAAAAAAATTATCTGTAAATTTCTAAAACTAAGCTCAAATTACAAGACTAAATACCAGTCTGGTCTGTATCAGAACAGGATATAGGCTTTTGTCCTGTATTTAATTCTACTACAGCAATCTTTCATAAACCGTGGCCAACCTACCCATCAAAACTATCAAGAAAAAATTCTTCAATGCTATAGTAAGACTTTTCCAATAATAATTTATGTAAGGTTTTGAAGACATTTTTTGATGAATTTTTGCTAATGATTTTTGATAGTTTGTTAAAAATTTTGATTGCCATGTAATTTGGACTATTTTCATACAGAGAAAGTCTATGGTGTGGATATTGAAATAAGTTTGAGTGACGTGTGAAATAGTTATGGTTAAATTTATACTTATCAACGCTGTCCTGATTATTGTAGAGTAACTTGACAATTTCTAATATATATAAACCTGTTACTGTTAAAATTCCAAATTCTTTAAATAATGATCTACAGCTTTTTCTTTTGGAAACTTTTGCCATTGTCCTCACCACTGATTTCTGTGCATTGAGAAGTTTTTTCGTTTTGGAATTGGATCCCCAAAGAACAATACCATATCTGAGTCTCGATTCCATGTAGGCGTAATATACTAGTTTACCAATATCAGTAGATGTTGTATCATTAACTACACTTAATGCAAAACGAAAAGAGTTGAGCTTTTTTGTTAAGAATTGTATATGGTCGTCCCATTTTAATTTTGAATCAACATGAATGCCTAAAACTTTATGAGTATCCGCTAAGTTTAATATATTATCAGATAAAAAGTCAGAATTTTTACAATTTTTTACTTTAAAATGCATTATACGTGTTTTTGAATTATTCATTAGTAAACAATTTTTTGTGAACCAATCTTGCAGTTCTTCTATAGTCTGTTTAATGGAGATTTCCAATTGTTGAATATTTGAATTTTGAACTATAACGTTGGTGTCATCAGCATATAAGAAAATATCACCAGATATGTGAGAATCGATGTCATTGATAAATATCAGGAATAATAAAGGTCCCAGTATTGAACCCTGGGGAACTCCATGGATGACCTTTTCCCATCTTGATAAAAATTTTCTCTTACTTTTTAAAATGACTGTCCGTTGTTTTCTATTATTTAAGTAGTTTGAGAGTAGTTCCATGACTTTACCTCCAATACCTACTTTCTTTAGTTTATTTGCTAAAATCTTGTGATTAACACAGTCGAACGCACTTGATAGGTCACAGAAAATTCCTGCAGTACTTTGTTTCCCCTCCAATGCTTCTGTGACCATGTTAACCAACCCAGTCAATGCAGATGTAGTAGATAGATTTTTCCTAAAACCGAATTGTGATTTTGAAAAAAGATTATTACTTTCTAAGAAATTGGTAATGCGTGAATTTATTGCTTTTTCAAATATTTTGGAAAAATTACTTAAAATAGAAATAGGTCTGTAATTTGTTGTATCTGTTTTCATTCCTTTCTTGAATATTGAAAGGATTATGGTCACCTGTGATCGCGGCAAACTGGTGGTGTAATAGCTATTTACATTACAAGTGTAGTAAGAGCGTTTTTACATCACGCAGGTGAATGTTGTGCAACGAGCGAAGGCGAGTTGCATAATTCACCGAAGTTATGTAAACACGCTCTTGCGTAACGTGTAACGTACAAGATTTTACCTGACCCGACAATATTCAGGAGGTTACGAGCAATATGCTTCATTATCAATTTCACTCATCTTCTAACAGTAACGTTCATTTACAAACAAAAGCTAGGTTAGGAAAATTCTTCAAAGCATAACAATAAAATTCAAACACACAGCTGATTTCTAGCGTTGAACGTCGTTGGCTCCATAGAGGTACAGCCCGCCCTCGCTAGTCCGACAGGTACGGGACTGACGCAGTGTCGGATTTTCAAAAACGTCGGATTATCGAAAATGGCTATTCTGTAATGCATTTGATTGCCAAAAAGATATAACTATCATTTTAAACAATATATTAATCACTATTAAATTCTTGGGAAGAATTAAAAACACAGAATAAAGTAAACACAATTTTAATTTATGTAGCTAAACTTATTTTACAGTATTTACAAACAGTACTGTACGTACATCCCAAAAAATATGCATAAAAGTAGGCCTACAGTACACAATTCATTAAAAAAGTAGGCCCCTGTAAAATTAATACATACGTGTTTCAGCACAGTATTTAGTTGTTAAAAAAGTCTGTGATTGACTTCTGCTTCTTTTTTTGTACACAGTCCATCATTGCTGCTTCTTGCAATCCTTTTAAAACTAAAACTTTTGTCATGTCCACATCTCTCTCTTGGCACCAACGTAACAAAGTATTAGCAGCCGATACAGCGTCATCACAGCTGACGGTGAAGGTTTTTTCTGGCGCTGCGTCCTCGATCACGTCGTCATCAGCTGCTGTAACTTCTTGGATTATATCTGCGTCTGTCACGTCAGCATCAAGGTTGTCCTCCATGATCCATGGCCTAAGCTCTTCAACTGATGCGGGGGCAAGTTGCACTTCGTTACAAAGTTCCAATGTAGCCTCCAAAACGGGTTCTGGGTCGCTGCTGGATGTAGGATTACATGTTGTAAGACATGGATTGTTAGGCCATACATTTTTCCAAGATTTGATCAAAGTTGTGCTTTTTACTTGTTGCCAAGCATATGCAACATTCAAAATGGCGTCCTTAATGTTGAAAGCTTTCAAAATCGCTGCAATATCAGCATCAGGTTGACTGACAACATCCATAAGAATGCGCTTTTTGTAGTGAGCTTTGAGAGTTTTTATCACATTTTGATCCATGGGCTGGATTAAAGCTGTGGTATTTTTTGGTAGGTACATAGCTTCAATGTAGCCATCAGCAGTTTTGATTTTCAATTCATCAGCATCAGGATGTCCTGGCGCATTATCCAGTAAAAGAAGGGCTTTCATTGGTAACTTGTTCTTCTTTAATTCAGCCTTAACTTGTGGAACGAAGCTGTTAGTGTACCAGTCATGAAAAACTTCTTTTGTGACCCAAGCGCGACTTTGTGACTTGTAAGTTACTGGCAGAGATTCAACCTTGACATTTTTGAATGCTCGAGGGTTTTTTGATTTTCCTACAACAAGCAGTTTTAAAGCATGAGTGCCTGATGCATTAGCACACACCATAAGCGTGAGTCGTTCTTTTTGCAATTTCCTTCCAGACACTTTTTTTTCCTCATCACTTACAAATGTTTCTGCCGGGAGCTGTCGCCAATTCAACCCGGTTTCATCGGCGTTGTACAGTTGCTCGGGAACTAAACCAAGCTCAGTAATTTTTTTGTCCAACATTTCAATGAACGCATCAATCTCAGACTTGTCAGCAGATACCTTTTCACCACTCATCTTCATAAACCGTATACCATGGCGTTTTTTGAAGTTTTCGAACCATCCATGACTAGCTCGAAAATCATCCTTCTTTGTTATTTCTGTGTAGAAATATTGCGCTTTTTGTTTAAGTATGTCTCCGGAAATAGGAGCATTCCGTGTGCGTTGTTGTTTAAACCAAATGAACAGTGCTTCTTCCACCTCAGGAAACTCGCTTGTTCTCAGTGTTTTCCTGTTTAAAGCGTCGTCTTCAACAGACTTCATAAACCCTTCAATTTTTTCTCTCTTCTTCATTACATCATAGATCGTAGGCCGTCCGATGTCATAACATTTCGCTACTGCAGTCGGCGTTTCACCGCTATCTATTCTTTTAATAATCTCCCACTTCTCCGATATTGTTAAAGTTTTGTGTTTCCGTTTAACACCACTTGTACTAGCCATTTCACACAACTACACTACTGTACTGTACACGAACACTTGCACTTACTAACAAAGGTACGACTGCAACGGAAAAGTGAACTGCACGTCTCGAAAGTCAACTGAACACTGAACGGAAGGGCTCCGTCGGCAACGAGACGTGAGTCACAGTGTTTCATGTCACTGCATGCTTATTTTTGCTCCCGTAGCGGCGCCTGACGGCACGTCGGATTACCGAATACGTCGGATTTCAAAGCGTCGGACTAGCGAGGGCGGGCTGTATATTTTTTTAAGTTATCCACTCAAATGTTATTTAAATGGGTTTCATTACATCACCGAGAGAGTTTTTTTCAACTTTACATCACTCGAGAAGTAAGGAAGTTGTATACATCACGCTTGGGATAGGGAAGTTTAACATGGCGGGTTAGGTAAAATAAATTATTTTTTAAAAATTTTATCTAAAAAAATGTTTTTCCCAATCCTCTGCGGCCCCCTCTTGCTTGCGGCCCTAGGCCGCGGCCTAATCGGCCTAGTGGTAAATCCGGCACTGGGTCTGACCTGACTCGAATATATAGGGGACCTGCAGACCTAGTAATAGGTACACTTAAGGACTGGGTATAACCATTGGGAAAACCCGGATTTGCTGACGGAAACACTGGTAAAATAGTGTGAGATTTTTTCCAGAAGTTCTGTGGTCAACCTGAAATGGGGATGAAGATCTTAATTTAAAAATTCTTGGTTACCTGCAATTCATGCTTTTAAATTTAAATTGCCTCTTTTTTATAGATTCAATTTAGTTTGCTCATAAACTCTTTTATATCTAAACATTTTTCAGGTTCTACTCAAGGAGAACAACAGCGAGTGGTAAGTTAAAATAAATTAAAAGGTTGATAGAACTTCAAAATATTTTGAAAATAATAGTATTTATTTTGTATTGGTGCGAATGAGATGAGATTACGAATAATTTGGCCCTTAAGATGCATATTGTTTTATGATTGTATTTGTTTGGATATCAAAAGAATAGGCTATAACCACCAAGATAAATATTTTAGATTGGGTTTATGCATCAATAGCTCACCAAAAGTAAGAGGTAAATATGAGTCAAGGACAATTGTTGAATGAATTCTATGTTGACCTTGCTTGTGACTGAGATCAGATGGTCTTCTCTGTCGAAAATATTCTTTTATTGCAATCTTTATAATTAATATTAATATTATCTTAATACAGGGTGCTTCAAAACTCTCTCCCAAAACTCAGTAGGTATGTTCCTTAGATAAAAAAAACAAAATTTCAGATAAACATATGTCCTATCTCGCTTCGTTTTCCGTCTGTCAGTGTGTATGTACTTTTTACATAGATTCCCATAACTTTAAAACCATTTGAGGTACCAACTTCAAACTTGCGTGTATGATGACTAATACGACCTGTCCTTTTGTAAAGCATCAAGTTTGTAGTTACAAATTACAAAAACAGGGTGTCTACCAACCGGGAAATCCGGGAAAACCGGGAATTGTACTTAAATTTTTAATGGTCATGAAATGTACGGGAATTGTCCTTAAATGCCAGACTATATCCTTAAATTTTTAATGGGCCATAATTTTATTGATCGCTAGTTGGTTAGGAGCACATATAAGGCTTATCAGATGTTTGTTTACATTTTCATAATTTATTACTAGAGTAATTATGCAATAAAAATCCCATTAGCAATCTCAAACCCATTACTATTTTATCACGACAATCAAGTGTCAAGTCAAGTACTTCCAAGAACTGTTGACTCAGCAGCTAGCTCATAAAAGTTGTATCACTTTTATTCCTTTACAACTTCTTTTTTTATTACTAGGGTAATTATTATTAGATCCCAAACCTATTTTATCGTGAAAATAATAGCTTTATAATGTCTGTTAAATTCCACTTCTTACTTGTACTTTCGGCTTGAAGTTTCAATTTGCCGCGGCAAGTGCCTAGTGCCATAAAACTGTTTATGGTTTCATATTAAACATGTAAATAATCTACAGTCTTATTTTGTAAGTTAACCCCTTTTTTATGGACATTTTATCTTTCAATTGACAAAACCACAAGCATTGTCGTTTGCATTAATGTTTTATCACTATGTAGGCCTGCTTGGTTTCAAATTATGTCATTGCATTTTCTGTATCTTTGTCTTATATTGTTGGCTATTCAGGTTTCAATGTTTTTTGTTTCCCATATATTTATTTATTGAGTTGTATGCTTTAAGCAATCTAAATCTTATGAACTAGAATGATGATAGTGACTTTGCTGCTATATTAACCTCATTGTTTGTTACCCAGTTTATATAGGCCCTCCTAAATAATTAAGGTCTAGGCCTGGGTATTTTGATTCTTGAAAGAGCTGTAAAATATATTAAGAAAATGTAATTGAGCCTAAGATAAACAACTAATGATTGCTATGTGTCGATATTAATCAAATCAAATGAAAATACAATAATCTTACTCTGTGCTTATTGCTTATTAATAGCCGCTAACCATACCTTGATTTTGTACTAAGAATTGAGTAACAATATGCATTAAAATTTTTTTTCAAAAGTAGTAAAGAACCTAACGTTGTGCCAGGGCGAATCATGCCAAATTAATCGGCCTGGATCGGATAAGCTATGTTATGAAGTTTACGTGACCGATGGAGATATTTGTCGCTATCGCAGGAGACAATGATTGCGTTTCTCTGTTACACTATAAAAGCTTTACCTAAAGTATAGGTAGGCCTATGTTTGTTTACTTTCAATAAATTTCTATTTTGAAATTTTTAACTCTTATCTATTATTATTTACTTATTTTTTTATTTACTCTGGTAACTACAGTGAATAACAAGATTAATACAGTTTGACAAATCAGGAAAATTATTCAGTAGGCCTAATGACACCGACAAAGGTTACGGCAAAGTGTCCTTAAATGTATGGGAATTGTCCATGAATTTTTTATCCAGAATGTAGTAGACACCCTGAAAAAGGTTGGAAATTTAATCACTTTACAGAATTGTACCATTTATATAGGGTCATTAAACAAATAACAAAGAAAATTTAATTTTTAAAAAGGTAGTACCAGCTAATTAATTGCATTTGCCCAAGTTATTAGTTTTAACTTCAGAAAAATTACATTTCCTCCGTTATTTATGTTATGACCCTATATAAATTGTACATTTCTGTAATGTGAGTTAAATTTCCATCCTTTCTGTGGTTTGCAACTTTATTATAAATCCTATGGATTTTAGTTATTAAGCTTTGTAAAATAAAAATGGCCGCCATTTGGAAACTATACAAAGCAGAAACTTGATGCTTTACAAAAAGATAGTACCTATTAGTCATCATACACATAACAAGTTTAAAGTTGGTATCTCAAGTGGTTCTAAAGTTATGGGAAGTTATGTAAAAAGTACATACACGCTGACAGGTGGAAAACGAAGGGAGATAGGACATTATGTTTATATGGTATTTTTTTTTTGTTTTGACCTAAGGAACATTTTATATCCACACAGTTTCTGGAGAGAGTTTCAAACCACCCTGTATATTATTAATATTATGGTACTAAAATATGTTTCTTGTTTTAGGTTAAAAAACTTCCCGAGGTTGTCAAATTTACAGTCTCTGGATTAGGCTTGCAGGTAAATACTGGTAGTAGTAGAATGGTAGAACTAGCGAAGTAGTCTCTGCAGTGCATGGTTAAAGTAAGTGGACACCTTATAGTAAGTCCATGGGGTAGCTAAGTCGGAAGAAGTCCACAAGCCAGCTATGTTTTAAAACTATGATCATAAACCACGTACGTATATTCAGTCAAAGAATCAATATTTTATAAAAAATAATGTCAACCCAGTAAGTACATATTATTTATTTATTATTTATTTTTCAAGTGTTTAATCCAATTAACAAATACTCCCTTGTAAATATATTTCATCGAAAGACTGTTGATCTATAAATCTTGTTGAGTATAAAAATTATATACTAAATTTACTGCATGATTTAAATTTTGTCAATGGACCACTGTCCTACTGTATCTCATTTTATAATGTGACACCAATGAAGTCATACCTAAATGTTTATTTAAAAATTGAACATTTGCACATATTTAATGTTAATTATATCAAGCTTAAAGCCAATTAACCTCTTATCCGGACATCGGTTTAACCGGACTACACTCGGCGGAAATGACATCTCTTTAACCATACAATTTTTATCAGCACACCGGACTAGATCAGCAGGAAGTGGACAGTACTGAAACAACTGTTCTTGTGGGAATGATTTGACACCAGTGATCACGTGTCTAAATATGTATTATTGGCTTATACAGTATGCATTTAAATGGTCCGTTTTAACGAGTTTTCGGGGACGTTTGTTTAACTGGAAAAACTGTTATCCGGAGTGGCCTCGGTCCCGAGGAGTCCGAATAAGAGGGAGTTACTATAATTACATATGTACACACTAACTTATAATAATTTTCCAACCATTATCCCTAAAATGTTGCTTAAAATTTCTATTGCATTTTTACAAACAAACGATTGAACACAAAAAATGAATTACAAATAATTCAGTTTGGTTTGAGAAATGTAACTAACTATATTTTTATTGAGGACTCCACTTAAAGTTTATTTTAGGAAAAATGTTTACTTTATAGGTCATGTCCCCACCTCAACAAGAAGCTGATACGTTGCCTGGAAGAAGTTTGTTTAGCTGGAGCGAATTACTAGGGACATCAGCTAAAACGTCCACTCGGGGTGAAAAAATTGTGCCTACCACTTCTGTAGGCTCATCAGCTGCGACAAGCACTCCCCAAAAACCAAGGGATGAACCTCAACTACACAGAAACATGACATCCTCAATGAAGCTGATGAATTTGCTGAGAAACGTCCCAGGTTTGCAAAGGAATCCTGCGTTGAATGTCGGTGTAAAACGAAATAGTGGAAGTAATGATGACAAAGAGGTGAACAAAGAAGACAGACCTCCGGTTAAAAAATCAATTGTTTCTACTCCTCATAGTACCAAAGCCTGTGAGCCAAGTGTGACCAAATCTAATGTTAAAGTTGATAACCCTCCTGCTGTTAAGAAGGATGAATGGTTGGATAGAGAAAATAAGGAAAATACAAATTCAAAAATGGCTATTGGTTTTTCAAAGTCACAGACATTGCCCACTGGGGACAACATGAATAAGCTGAATAAAACTCCTGCTTCAAAGGCTTTGAGCCAAAATTTGATGAATATATTGTCCATGAAAGGTGGAATGAGTCAAAAGAGTAACTCTGGACATACTCAGGACACACAAGAAGATGGAAAGGCAACTCTTGCCAAAGCTCCAGTGATTTCTCAAAACCATCAGCAGGGAAATTTCAATGAGGTTATGTATCAAAACAGTCAGGCAAAACGTGATGAACAAGATAAACCGATAGAAAATATTCCAAGTAAGTACTAACCTATCCTTCTTATGTTTTAAACCCTCTCAGCTAACTTAACATTAGAGAACTCAATATAATCAGTAACTGACATATTGCTTTCTAAACCTCCTCAACCAATTTTGCTTTGTCATCACAGTCATACTTAAAATGTCATTCTCATCAAATGTTTCTCATCAAATAATATACAAGGTACACACATTTTATATCAGTCTATAAACCTCCAATCTTATACTAGACATCAATGAAACAAATATATTCAACTTAAACACATTACAATACCCTGCTAACTAATGGGAAAAAGAATGGAAAATGTAATTAACCATGAAAGGACAAAATTTCCAATGAATAATATGTTTTTGTGACGATGTATCCATGAATCAGGGGTTTTTAATTGGCCACAGAATGATATGGATATGAATTCATATCATTTAGGTGAGTCGGTGGCTCAGTTGGTAGGGTCACAGACTTCGGACCCAAGACAACGATGTCATGGGTTTAGATCCTGGTAACTGCGACAAACATTTTATCAGTACAGTTCACCTTCGTACTGTACCGGCTCACCCCTTGCTTTGCTGGATAGATTCCACGCACGGGCAGTTAGTCTATGTGGACAGACAAATGCAAGGCTTAAAATTCGCCAAGGTTAAATTGCATTGATTTAGCTATTTGGTTCAGATCTAGCAACATGGTTTTAGTTCATTTATCCAACTTGATTTTCTGATTGATTTTGTGATACACGGAGACGATTGCTGAACGTCAGTTATTTTGTTTGTTGGATAGTATTGTTGGAACCAGGTTCACCAGCTCCCGATTTGATTCCAGTGGAGACAAACTCCAACAGCCAGCCATTGTCTCAGGGGAACATCTCACAGACTTGCTCTCCTATTGAATTCAACTTGTCTGGAGGTTCAGGTAGGCCTAACTATAGCTTGGCTTGTAAGTTCAAATATTGTACTGAAGAAAACCCTGAAAAACTCCTTTTTATGCACCAGCAGTGGTCAGTCATTTATTTAAAAATAATAGTTAAATGAATCATCTGAGTGTGATATAGTCTATACAATAAAAGCCCACTGATCCTGCAGCCAATGGTCAGGCACCTTTAGTAATCCGACATTGGTCTAGCAGAGGTTTTAGCAAAACACACCTCAGCACTACTTCCCCCCCTCCACCCTAAGGTGTGCACCTGCTGGGAGGAAAACTACATCGGTTTTGGTCATCTCCAATGCCCCCAACAGCAATCAAAAGTCAAAATGCGTTACACTTGCAATGCATACTCAACCCCCTATAGATGCTGGACTAAAAACAAATGATCAAATCTGGAAAAAATGAATTGTTATAATATAACATTATTTATTTCTTCAGTTAAAATAGTATTGTTATGTGAGTTTGTATGTCAAACATTTTACAGATTTCATTTCTCCAATTGATGAGACTACAAAGATGGCTTATCAACGTTTGATGGCTCAAGCAGGACCGTATCCTACACAAGAATATTCTGCAGAAAACACCGTCAACAGTCACAAACCACCCTCTGAGGTATGTTTAGAAGACTGACCAAAGAACCTCTTATATCTGACAAGTGAGATACTGTCAAATACACATGTATGGTAGCGATACAAATACAGTGGCTAACAATATTTGTCAAATAAGTACACTCTGGGCCCCCCACAAGTTTGTTCACCTGGCACCCACAGATTTCCACCCAAACTTGCAATTATGACATCTCCCGAGGCTTCATCATCGTCTTCCATGATAGCGGCAAAACCGTGATTACAACCAAACCTAGGACATCATCAGATATCATCATTATCATCTACCGCGATCGCGGTCCAATCCATAATGTCTCCCGCAGTAACGGAAACATCTTCTTTTCCACAATCGTGGCAAAATCCTAAATATATCTCCGGCGGAAAAAGAAACGCCATCATCGTCTTCTGCGATAGCGGCAAAATCTTGAGTATCTCGCACGGTCATGGAAACAAAAACATCATCTTCCACTATCGCCGCAAAATCCTGAATGTCTCTTGCGGTCATGTGGACATCATTGTCGTCTTCTGCAATGGCGGCATAATATTGAACATCGTCATCGTCATCCGTGGAGTAATCCTTGCAGACGCGCTCTGCGGTTGCGATGTTATCACGGACATAAAAGCTCGGCTTGAGCTTGATTATCTGCCTTTGTGCTTGATTACTCAAGCTAGTAGGCCAGGCTCGGCTCGGCTAGAAAATTGAAATTCTATATTGCAATTAAACTGTTTCCAAAGCAAACAGATTTCGAACCGACCTGATTTTGGCCCAAGACCCATAGCTAAAATTTGTTATCCGACTCAAAGCAAACAATCTGGTGTGCAGCCTCCTAATAGTATCAATGAAAGAATGGAATTATTTATTACCTAGTGTCCTAGCCTCCTCGGTTCAATTGCCAATTTGATCGTTAAAAAATGGTCAAGTTCATTCAGTTGAATCAGAATAGAGGGTTTTGTCTGGTGTGACCTGTCGGGGGCTACTTTCGTTATAAATACGGATCTATCATATAGCGCCTTCACATAGGCCACAAGGACAGTTGATGCAACCCGCATGACTGATGACTACTTTTTACTTAGGTTAGAAGAGAATTTCTATTGCTTGGTCAAGTACTCTTAGTGTAGCTGTTGTAAACAACTTGTCCTAGCGCTCTTACTGGTTTTACCATAATTTTGTCATAAAAAACATATGTTAATCATACCTATACATATTGTTGTGATAGGGGACCCTTTTGGCAGAGCCCACCACGGACCCTGGTCCCGGTAACCTTTCCCGAAAATCCCGGTCAAGGCACACAGGCCCCCGTTATCGCCAGCACTGGCGCCATATTGAGACTTACACAGCCTAAAGGCAATCAGACATTCTTCCCATAGTTCCCTCTTGTCTTGGAAAATGGCTGCAATAATCACTCAAATAACATGAGGGGGTTGCATCAGAGTAAGTTACAGGGATGAATCAGGGTGGCCAACTCCAACTGATACTGCCAAACTACATTTATATAAACTATTCTACTAACACGTTGTGTGCGGCCCGTTCCCGATTGGGTACGGTGCTCGGCGCCCGTAGGGTGTGTCCATACCCAATCGGGAACGCTCGGCACTGCCTTTTGTATATCTTTGTTTTTGGAAGGCGGATCTAATGCACGTTAGCTTGTAGTGTGTGACTTGCTTTTTGTTGTGGTGTAGGTTGGTAGTAAATTTCCCTATAAAATTCCCGTCTGGCGAGTGGCAAGCTTAAAAATCAACTTGTTGTCCCGTCTTTCTCCCTCCAATTGGCAATACAATGGGACCGGATACGATCCAAGCAGTGCTGCTATCTGTGGGGGTTTTAGCGAACTACGTCAACTCTCGTCGTAAAGCAGGACATCACCAAACGTTATTTGCTATTCATCAGACCAAAATTTGAAAGCCAATCACGCTGCGGGTTGCGCCGCACTGGAGCTACGCCTGCCATTTGATGTACCGCATCGAACGTGTTAACCAATGTTTCGTAGAAGATAGAGTTTGTTAATTTATTCCTCCAGTGTTTTATACTTGTTTATTCATTACTCTGGTGTTTATTTTGACAGGAAAACATTGTACGTTCTCATTACTTCATTGGCTCTCCCAGTCTTAATACACCTCCTGATGGCCCAGGTATATTTATGTACATTGTAGCTTTTAAGTTTTAAAGCATTGTCACACATTCTAGAAAGGCATATCTTTTACCAACCATACTTTGTACAACTTTACACATTTGTAGCATATACCCTAATTAGTCTTGAGTGTCTACATCAAGACATGATGTATTGTGATGCATGCAGTTTGACTGCAATTAGAGGTCAAATCAATATGAGCAGGATTACGTGGTAAGTATTTTTTAACGAGGTTCTGTTCAGATTAGGCAGATTTGCAAATGATAAGAGGAGTTCAGGTGAGAAATATCTATACTATTATAAAAAAGAGGTGGTTGCTGTATGTGTGTATGGGAAAAGTAAACTCGAAAAATACTGGTCGGATTGGGCTGAAATTTGGCATGATGATAGCTCACATTCCCGATTAACATATAGGCATATTCTTATTTCAAAAATCCTTTCGGGCTCCGCCCCAGTGGCTCTGGAGTTTCCCATGTTAACCTTATGAGAAATGGAATTATTGAATCTTAACAGCTGTTTCAATTAAACAAGTTGGTTCTGTTCTATGATGTTCAATAGCATTAAAGTTACAAGGATTACCAACAGGGTGCAGCACTATTATTTCTTTTACATTTATGACAACAGCTAATTTGCAACCAAAAGGTGAGTGAGCGTAGCGAACGAACTTCAACCTGGAGGCGAGTTAGCGTAGCTAACGAGCTAACCTGAAGGCAAGTGAGCGCAGCGAACGAGCTCCAACCTAAAGGTGAGTGAGCGTAGCGAACGAGCTCCAACCTAAAGGTGAGTGAGCGTAGCGAACGAGCTCCAACCTAAAGGTGAGTGAGCGTAGCGAACGAGCTCCAACCTAAAGGTGAGTGAGCGTAGCGAACAAACTTCAACCAGGACGTGATTGAGCCATGCGAACGAGATAATCTTGAAAATTAAGAAGTTAAACGGGGCAAAGCCCGCGGGTTACAGCTAGTTATTTATAAAAGTTAAGGTATATTAATAATTTGGTTATGAAAGGCTACATAGTGGCAATAATTATTTCAGTAAATTAGTGGTCATTTTATGAGTGCACTTTTTCATAAAAAAATATCCACTGTTGATTATCTCATTAGGTTATAATTAAAGGATGTTAAACTTATTTGGAACTTGTTATTAATTAATGTGACATTTTCCAGTGAATGACTACCAGCCTAGTCCATCGGAGCCGTTCTCCCCTCCAATGATTGAGGGTGCTTATGACAGCAATGACATGATGGCAGCTATACAATCCCCACCCCCAGCTAACACAGGTAATGGTTTAAACATCACTGTCACTCAAAACATGCAAAATCCTACATCTCAAAATTGCAGGAGAAAGATATTTACTACTAACTGGTTTACCTAACATTTATTTACCATCACACAAATAAATTTCTTGGAATTAACATACAGTAGATCAAAGTTTCAATTTGGGATCAAAGTTACTTCTTTTGGATATGCCATTAAATGTCACCAAAGCTCATTGTCATTAACAACATAATAATTATTCAGTATGCGTACATGTGTACTGTCTCTGGAATCTATATAATTAATACGCTACATGAAACTTTGTCGGTTGAACTCCTCCGCCATTTCTTAACCGATTTTATCCATTGACGTCTCATTGGAAAGAGCGTGTCGTGTAGATTTGCAAACTGGCCTTACATTTTTGAAAAAATCCCTTGAGCCCTGCCCCAGTGGTTTTGAAAGTTCCCGTGTTATCCTTATGAAGAACATAATTGTTTACATTTTGATCAGCTGTATAATTTAATTGCTGTTATTTATTTGGGTCGCCGGAATTCTATCCCCCTGGAATTATCCCCGCGGATTTGTAAGTCTAATGAAAATAGTCAGAGTGTGATTAATTAGATTAGCGATAAAAACCGGAATTTTACCCCCCGTCCATATAACTTACGTTTAGACAACTGAAGATGTATGGGCCGGATTTTTACCCCCGGATTTTTACCCCCAGAATTTTACCCCCGGATTTTTACCCCCCGGAATTTTACCCCCTGGCCCATTTTCGAAATTGAATGATTGATTTCTTATTTATGTTATTAATGAATTGTAAACATTTCATTATTTAGTAGCCTATCTTTATTTATTTATTTATTTTGTAATCTCAACCAAGTAAACAGAATTCGCTGTTTTATTTTGACCATACTAACCAACAGTTGGCTTTAAAGACCGAATCCTGATACTCGAATCTCAAAATTAAAAATAAAAACCTGTTCAATTAGTTAATGTTGCAAATAAATTAAAGATAGGCTACTTAATAATAAAATGTTTACTATTAAATAACAACTCAATGAAGATAATTAATAATCATTCCCACTAATTTATATATCTGGCCAGGGGGTAAAATTCCGGGGGTAAAAATCCGGGCCGTGCATTCTAGGTTTTTATAATTTGATGTGTTAAATTCACAACTATAAAAATATATGTTTAATTTCGCGTTTAATTTATCGAGCTGATGTCGCAAAACTCAACAGTTCGCGGCCGGAATTTTACCCCCTGGTTTGTGACGTCACGTTTGCCCAGGGGGTAAAATTCCAGGGGGATAAAAATCCGCTACCCCATTTATTTTTCACCACACTATGATGTTTATGGCTGTATTACATACGTTAATTGGTGGCTGAAAGTTACGTTTTGCTGGCCATGCCAGCTGTAATCGTAATTTGGGGACCGAGCAGGTTTTTACATACCGGTGCCGCAAAATCTGCTGTCTTTTTATTTTTTTATTTATTTGAAAAATCACAAACATCTTGCAATTCTCTACCTTTCTATATAAGACTAGCTTGCTTGAAAAACAACTTGAAACAATTATCTTAAATAAATAAAATATATAACAATAAATAACATGCATTAAATACTTCTTAACTTTAACAATAATATAATTAAATAATTGTTATAACAATACACATAACTAAATAAATAATTAAATAATTTTTAATAACAACAGTATTAAACCAGTTTTAATGGATTCCTTGTGATGACAATACTAAAATAAATAACGTGCATTAAATGATTTTAACTTTAACAATAATATAATAAGTAAGTAATGTAATAAACAATGTTTAAAAGGATTCATTGAGATGACAATGTTTAAGCCTAGATTTCAAGACTCTAAAACTAGTTTTATTTTCTATTTCAGTTGGCAATCTATTAAAAAACGTTGGAACTAGAAATTTTATAACTCTTTTTGAAAATTTGTTTGTGGTCTTAGGAACAGTATAAAACTGTTGACGTGAATTGTATCTATGGTAATTTTTTACTTTAAATTCATTTGAGAAATAGTAATCAAGTAAAATTATATACTCAAGTAATACATCCACTGGTAATACCTCAACTATCCTATATCCGAGCAGAGGGTTTTCTGACAAAACAGTAGAGTCAAGCTTAGTCATAGTTTTTATGATTCTATTTTGCACAGTTTTTATTTGATTTATGGCTGTGGGTGATGCTGATCCCCATGATCTTAAGCCATATCTAATCACTGACTCACAAATTCCTGAATATATGATTTTCATTGTTGCTAATGGTAAAAAATCTTTTAAATAGAAAAATTTTGCTGCACAAACTCGTAGCCTGTTTGTTACTGTCTTAATTTGTAAATCCCATTTCATATTGTGGTCAATTGTTATACCTAAATATTTATAATTCACTACATTCTGTAATGGTAGCACATGCAGCATTTTCAAATTGTTTATTGTTTAAGCAGTCATGACAATGGGATTTCACATTTATTACTGAGCATTTGTATGACGGCGAATGTATGTGCATCAACCTTGATTTATCTCCATTTATAGCTAGACCATTGTCGTGGCACCACATGGTTAAACTTAAGAAATCTAGCTGCATTTTTCCGGTAGCTTCCTGAATGTTTTTGTGGGTCCGCTTACTTAAAACATGCATTTTAAATACACAATCAAAATCCATAGAATTGTGTTTTTGTCACCGTTGCCTATTAACTATTTAACTTTTTTAATCTTTGTTGATTCCTCAAATTATTTCTTCACATAACCTTAAAGTTGTAGTTTTGTTGACAAGGCCTATCAGTGTGCATTATTATAGTGGTGAATAGGGTAATAGTGTGTAGTGTGGTGAAAAATAGCGTTCGTACCACGGACCGAAATGGTTTTGCAGCTCTCGATCGATTTAACCCTCCCAGTGTTACTTGATGAAAATTCGACAAGCAGAACACTTTGTGTAGTGTTACTTGTCGATTTTTCGACACGCAGACATCGTTTACGGCGAAGGCTCTATGACTGACTGAATCGGATTGAACTGGATCGAGTTAGGTATCGTTCTTTCCGTTATATTCTAAGCTTTCTCCAGAGGTCTGTCTCAGCGCTATATGTTCTCCGAGCCGATCGTAATTGTAGCAGACAGCTGACGTGCGTGTATTTGTACACAGCTAGGTTACCCTCGGACCGATGACTGATGTGTTTTATTACGTTTATCATTGTTTTAGTGTTAAAAATCAAAAGTAGTGATATCCGTGGTGCATTATAAGAAGATTTAAGTGGTTTTGAAGTGCTGGTTGATGATCCTGAAGAAGTAGGTAGTGATATTGATGTAAATTATCAGCCAGATTCCTAGCTATGGTTAGGCTATGCATTCTTAGCTAAATGCTATGTACTGAAATCTGTTTTTTGCCCATAACTTATTTATTTGCAAATCTACTTCCTTATATTATTATATATTTGTAATCCTCATAAAATTTAGAACAAAGTGGCTATTTTCAAATATTTATAGGCCTATAATTTATACAATTTCATTGAGCGCAAACTTATTTTTTTTTTCAATTTTTCCAAAATAATTTTTTTTTACCTAAAAAAATTTTTTGAAACAAATATTCCTTATGTTTTATGTATGATATTGAAGCTCATGATTTTCCAAACAAAATGGTATATAGAACATTAGAATTAACATTGTTTTAAGCTTCTCAGATCCGTTTTAATAAAACCTTGCAAATGCGCCAAAAATAGGTGGACATTAAGGCCTAAACTATGGACACTTGGAGGGTTAAGTTCTCGACTTCGTTCTGAACTTAAAAACTATCTCGAGCCGGCAAAACCTTATTTTCGGCCCTAGGTACGAAATATACTATTTCAATTTAATGAAACGCATTGAGTACATTTATTTACTAATTGAGTTTGTGTAAACATAACCCCCAAGACTGATCGAATTAGCATGGTTGTATCTTAAATTTGTGTGTATTTATCGTTGTTTTGTGTCGCTACGACAGGTCGTGTTAGCATGATTGTAATTTAAATTTGTGCATTCATCGTTGTTTTGTGTCGCTACGACAGGTCGTGTTAGCATGATTGTAATTTAAATTTGTGCATTCATCGTTGTTTTGTGTAGCTATAATTTGTTTATTTGTTGTTTTTTTAATGCCTCCGACATGACGACAACGAAGTGTAACGTGCCGTTTTTCCCGCTCGGAATATATGCGCTATTCCGTAGTTAAAGCGGGAAAGACGTCACCAACTCTCGCCAGCGGATCGCTCAAGTCGGCGTGCTGGGAAGTTTCCAGGGTTCAGATAAAAATAATTTATTTTATTAACTCAACAACCTAGCACAGGTACAGATTTGTATTTACGCAAAAATGTAGTGTGAATCAGGTGTGAACTCAGTACCGGTAACCAACAACGCTACTGTACCATCATCATCGTTCACACCTGGGAACAGCTAATTAAATTAAATTTAAAAATAATGAAAAACCATTCAACGAAATTTTGAAACAATTTAATGTTGCAGTTTCGTCAACCTCAACACTTAGAATATTTCTTCTGAATATACTTAGCGTGCTCCACCCGACCTCGTGTTTGCACGACCTGCAGAGACGGGTTCAACTTTGCCCGCTTTGCCGCAGCAGTTAAACACCTACTGAATATCCCGGCAAAATACCCGCTATAACCCCGTCACCCTCAATATATATTGTAAACACAATATTAAACGAAATTTGTATCCCTAAAACTCTTTATTGCCACCCACGGGAGCCCTAGCATACGCTAAAGCGGACTTATACAAGTTCTAACACCCGACAAAGATCCTACCGTGAGTTTTATGTCTAAAAGGATAAAATGAGGGTTTATCGCTAAATAATAAAAAATAATAGTACACACTATTAAGATAAAGCCGGCGAATTACCTGTATACTCCAGGGATCTTCACTGACACACCAAAGCACACGTTTAGCAAAATCACTAAAGCAATCACTCTTTCAAAGCAAGACACGTCCTAACACTGGAAATCGCAGAATT